AGGGAGACAGAGAGAGAGAGACAGACAGACAGACTGAGAGAGAGAGAGAGAGAGAGAGAGAGAACGGGGGGAAGGCAGAGATAGACAGAGAGACATATACACACTGTGCCGGAACAACATAGGGGGGAACTGCTGCTTTTTCTTTCCTCATCCTTGCTATCGTTACTTTCCCTCTACTTCCTTTGTATGTTTGTCACTCTTGTGACCCCCTATTTCCAGGGTGCCTTGATAGTCGAAGCAGACTTTGTGCTATTGAAGCTATAAGGGAGAGCAGAGTAAGCTTGATTCCTTTATTCTTCCGCACTTATATAACCTTATTGTGTTGCAAGTGCCGTGAAACTCTCACGAAAACTAAATTAATCCCGTATTTCCCCTTTACATTTGCCTCCGATTTCGTCGTTCGCGTAGCTGTTTTCGATGCTGCCTTTTTTAATTTCTGTTACGTGGGGTAGCTTTGATCCTGCCCTTCATACCTTGTGGGTGCTCTGGTGTGCTTTGCTTCTTCTTTCCTACCAAACATCTATCGTCTTTATCTCCCCTCCTTCTTTTTTGTGTGTTTATTACTCTCTTGTAACACTTCTAATCCTCATTGTGTTGCAAGTGCCGTAAAACTTCTGCTAAAACTAAAACGTAGCTGTTTTCGTTTATTGCCTTTTTAAATGTCTGTTCCGCGGGGTAGCTTTGATCCTGCCCATCATACCTTGTTGCTTCACTGCTCGCCAGTTAATTGACCCAGCCAGAGGGACAAGCCTCCTGCTACTTTACAGTGTCGAGGTGGGCAAAATCCGGATAATCTATCCGGATAACCGAATAATTATCAATGAAACATTGTCAGATTACAGACTCTTTTGACTCCCTTTCATGACCTGTTTGCGGAAGTGTGTGCACCCATTTGTTGAAGTGATGTTAACCTGTTTGTCGAAGTGGTTGTAACCCATTTGCGGAAGTGGTTCATAGCGTATTATTTGCCTAAGAGGTGCACTAACATATTATCCGGATTTTCCTAAAGCGACTCTTTGCCCAGCCCTACTTTACAGCTGGTTTATTCTCTTTATTTGGGTCAAAAATGTCGGTAACTCGTATCTCGAACGCGTTGTTTTCAGAGGTGATTGGCTCTGTTTGATACACTTCAGGTCACCGTGCACTGGCGGTGGGTGCTGGCAGGGGTTCTTGTACACAGTGCACAGCGCCTGTCGAAGTCGTTCGGTTCAGTCGGGCCAGCCAGATTTTCCTTCATGCGTATTGCAAGAACTGACTTTTTTGAAAAATCACAATTCGACCGGAAATCGACTAAATCCTACCGTAACCTACGCAATCAATCGTGTTTATTTTTCAAGGTCGCATATCGTATTAGTCTTTTTATTGTGCCAAAATAGTACTAGTGGTTTTTAACC